TGCTGAAGGAAGGATGCTGGACCCAGTAAAGATCTGCTCAAGTAATAATATAAAATACTAAACAGTTGTTGCATTGCAGAAATTGTGATTAAAGGTATGATGAATCTCTATTTACAACACCAGCAAAGGCTCCATTTGCTACTGATGGTGTATTTTAGCAGACTTGGTTTTGTTATTTACATTCATTGCTATATAATCAGTATGAATTTCTACATATATAAATACACATTTAGAAACACGTGGTATTTTGATATCAAATGTATTTTAATTCAGTTCTATTTTACTAAGATGGCGCACTAATTCACATAATAAACCATTTATTAATGATATATAACTCAGTTGTTTCCATGCATATTGTGGGTAAAACCCACGATCCTACTTCCTTTGAGGTAAATAGGATTTCAATGGGGACTATGTTATATCCTGAACTTGTACCAATGGCAAAAGCTTGTGTGCTTAATAAATGAAATTGTTCATCAACAAACAGTGTTAACTGCCCATCAGTAAAATGCAAATGCAAAATATGAATAAATATCTGGCTTTAGCGTTAGTGCTTGATAAGATAGCTAATAATACAGTCATATTAAGAAAAGCTATAAGGCATTATTTATTGTTACACAGTTCAGATTAAAGTGCAAACTGTAGAAGAAACTGTCATGTTTCTTCAAGTAGCTTTTGTTCTAGCAAAAGGTAATGTAACATTCATCATTAGTGACTTAAAGAAAATAAGAATAGAGTAGCAACTACTATACTTTCCAGATATTTGTCTCAACTAAATTTAGACATGTTCATGGAAAATCCTATCAAGGTTGATTTTTTTAAACAATGAGATGAATGAGTATTTACCCTTATATTTTCATATTTTCCAGCTAGAGATAAATGGCTCCCATCTGATCCTCAGATAATATCTGAAGGCCTTTATGCAATTGCTGTCGTTCTTAGCTTTTCTCGGATTGCATATATCCTGCCTGCAAATGAGAGTTTTGGGCCCTTGCAGATTTCACTTGGAAGGACTGTTAAGGACATCTTCAAGTTTATGGTCCTTTTTATTATGGTATTTCTTGCATTTATGATTGGAATGTTCATACTGTATTCCTACTACCTGGGAGCCAAACTAAACCCAGCTTTTACAACGTAAGTATGAAGTTACATTTAAGTAAAAAGCTGATATGATACTTTCAGTTTTTCACTCAAGTAACAGTCTGCGAGATACTGTATGCTCTCCACTAGCATTAAAATAAAACTGAAGACAGTTGAAGTTAGTGGGAAATTATATATCTCAGAACCTTAGAAAGCCGAATACAAAAGACTAATCAATGCTTTCCTACTTGTATAGTGGAAGCTTTCATTGCAGTCCAAAATAATTTCACCCATATGTTATGATAATCATACAGACTTGTGGACAAACAATTGCAAGAAAACATTACTTTTTTCTCTCGAGTGACATTTTCCCAGAGGAACCACTGAAATTGTAATCTTCAACTGAGCTCTTTCAGACCTAATTGATACACAGAGAGATTTAGCCATGCTGTTAATAACAGGCTGTCACGGAATCGCACCAAAATGGCTACACGCACACAAATAATGAACTCACACAAGCTTTTAATCTACAACTTAAATGAAGCAGACAAAACTTCACCAAAACAACATCCCACTGACATTCAACAAATACAGGTTCGATATGCTGATTGGGAATATTACCAGACACAGATGAGTTAAGAATTCTTAAGATTTGGCCAAACGATCCAAAATGTGCACTCACTCACTCACCAGAAAGGGAGGGCTCTCAATCTCGAGAAGTTACCTTAAGTGGCGTCCCAACTCAAGGGGAGAGTCCCTGACTGCAGACCCGCTGCTCCGAGGAGGACTGACTCAAATGAGTCCTCCGACGAGGCCCCTGGTCGAATCTGATCTGTGGTCCATACATGGTCGTGTCACCCCCTATTGGCTGAGGACCCCCCTGACTTTCCAGCCTTTGACGCCCACTGTGTGGACCAGACATGAGCTGTGAGGGGGGAGGCAGTCCTGGCGCCACCAGGGCCAGAAACTTTGGCACTGTTTTTGTTGGGTCTTTCTCGGGTCTTTAGTAGGGTGGGTGCATCTGCCACACAGGCCTCCAAATAATTTTAGTTTGCCAAGAAACAGAGTTAGTGATTCTGTAAATAGTGTTTTTCTCTCTTAGATTGGTACTGAAACAAATCTATGAACTGCATTGGACTTTTTTGGGTCAGGTTTACAATCTACACGGTAACTGCTTATTATCATTAGCCACAGGAGTACAGAAGAGTGGTACTTAAAAGTGTCTTTTCATGCAATGAGATTGTTTGCTATGATCTTGGAAGTTTTTTGCTTGTTTGTTTCCTGAAACAAGGTGATAGCTTCCAGCTGTCATGCTGGAAGTGATAAATATTTAGGATGTTCCAAACCAGAAGTATTTCCACAGGATGGTAAAAGTCAGGACCCGTCCTTTTCTCCCATCTTTCTACAGGAAGCATGACTTCTGTAAAAACTGCCATATATTCATGTAGTTGATTCCATGACTTAATTTTAGCCTGATTTTTGCACTTAATCTTACTGTCCTTTCTTCAGATAAATAATGCAATATAATGATACTTTTGTTACAGTATTTGATATCAGATGTCTAGTATGCATACTATTTGAATGCTTATTCATTGCTTAAACAGCACTGCTATTTTACTGGACTATACATCCATTAGTATATTATTTGTATTTAAAAATCATTTATCAGTGTTAAACCAGGTAATTCAAGATATGTGTACTGGCATATGTTATCTATACTTATGAAAATACAGCTGTCTGTTGGTTCACATTTTGGCGACACAGAGGAAGAAGTAATTTCCAGTAAATTCTCTCGGGGACTATGGAATGCACATTTTAAAAATAGGATCAAAATTTGTATTGAATATCAACATCTCTGAGCTTGCATTCATCAGCCCACCTCTCAGTGAGGTAAAATAGAGCTTTGCAGTAAGCTGCATCCTCACTGCATGACAAGTCAACCTGTAGCAATGCTTCCTGACTGGAAGGAGGAGTGGCGGCATGAGGAGATCTTGTAGAGGATCCACTCCCAAGGGCCCTGAAGGCTTGAAGAGCTCTCTGGCAGCTCTCTGAGATCTCTCTGAGCTCAGGTCCTCAGGAATCGCCCAGACCATGGGATGGAGACAAGAGCATAGAGACACTGGGTCCTGGACCCCGCACCTTAAGGGTATATATAGAGACATTCAAGGTCAGGCTTGATGGGGCTCTGGGCAATCTGAACTAATTAAAGATGTCCCTGCTTACTGCAGGGGGGTTGGACTACATGACCTTTAAAGGTCCCTTGCAACCCAACGTATTCTGTGATTCTGTATAGGTGCCTGCCTCCTGTTGAAGTGCCTGGCTCCTACTGATTTCAACAAGCCTTGAACAAATCCCATGAAATCTGTTTGGTTTGTCGGTTTTGTTGCTGAAGCTGCTTGCTACCCACTTCTGAGTGCACCTTTCCTAAAGGAAGGTTTAATCAGAAACTCTTAAAAGGAGTGTAGCAGTTTCCTTTCCGTCAGCCCTCTTTTTAGCTTTGTTAGGACAGGAAAGGTCTGCCTCCTGCAGTGTTAGACTGGGAAATAATGGGCTGAGAATATCCTTCATCTCAAAACCTAGGAATATGATACTTTTCTAATTCCTGAACTTCTGTTTGGCATGTATTATTACAGCTATGTTATCTATGATGGACAGATGGGGCACAGCAGAGAAATCAAACATGCTGTGAAAAATACTTTCTTGCACGTCTGTTGTGTTGATCAGTTCTCAACAAACCTGATTCACAGACAAATTACTTGAGATTGCATATCGCTTACTGTAAGCACAACTTATATATTTATTTGTGCAGTTAGTAATAATGTCTTCCTCTTTTTTTTTCCTACAGAGTTGAAGAGAGTTTTAAGACCTTATTTTGGTCAATATTTGGCTTGTCTGAAGTAACCTCTGTAGTCCTCAAATATGATCATAAGTTCATAGAGAACATTGGTTATGTTCTTTATGGCATATACAATGTAACGATGGTGGTAGTTTTGCTCAATATGCTGATTGCTATGATCAACAGTTCATATCAAGAAATTGAGGTAAGGCTCTGTTCTCAAGTTGTTCTCTTTTGTTATATTGAGAAAGGGCAGAATTATTAGGAATTATTTCAACTAACACATCTTGATATGCAAAAGTACAGTGAAGAGATTACATCATTAAAGGAGAACACAAAAAATACCATGTTCCTAGGACTGACTTTATCTAAAAGTCAAGCTGCAAAAACTTACAGGATCTTGTGCTACATATACTGATCTAAGGAGATGTCATCTATCCAGAAATCTTAAAATCTAAAGTAATATTCAAATGAAGACTGCTGTGAAATAGAAAACAAAGTTACTGGGTGTGACAATTTAGACATGGGTCGTTCATTCCCAGTTTCCTTAGGACCCTTATTGCATGTTCCGTTAATGTAGTGCACTTCAATTTTTGACAGATCATTAGGATACAGATTAAGTGTATTTTGATGTGTTCTTTAATGGCAATCTCATTTTTAGCTCCAATCCTCAAATTTGTTAACTAAATATATGGGAGTTAGATACTTATGTCCTGCAGTGCATACTTTATTACATTTATATGCTTCTGTATGTGAATTGTGATACAGGTGCTTATCCTCAAGATTATTGTGACTGAGTAACACTTTGCAATGCTTACAAGATTTCTTTGTAAAATGTGCTCTTTTCCTCTTTAGGTACAATATTAAAACTTGATTCTAGGTTTACCGAGCTTTGCTGTATGCCCTGAAAATACAATGGTGGTATTTTTTCAAATCTGCCAAATGGCTCAGTTGAATGAATGCTTGAATTTCACACAAAGTTATTGGCTGCATTGCTCTTTAAAAGATAAATATTTTATTTTAATTTCATTACAATGACAAAGTATCTTCATTTTTAAAGATAATTAATTGGAGTATTTAGCATCCAACTTCAGTAAAAAAATTCAGAAAATTTAAAGTGGAGAAGATGCTTGAGTTTTAAAGTAAATCTCAAATTGCTGAAATGATAGTAGACGTGTATTTCTAGTGCCAGTTACCCAGACCATAAGTTCTGGTATTATTCAAAGAGTACTATGTTCACATAGATGCAGATGCTCACCCACACTAGCCGGGAAAAAAAAGATCTAAGACATAGTGCACAAACAGATGTGTCATTTCTGGTATTTTCAGTGACTATTGGGAAATTTCAGGGAATTCAGTAGGAAAAAAATTAGTTACTTTTCACCTTCAGAGTAAAGCAAGTCCAATCTTGGAGTACTTCAGTAAGAATGTATCAAGAAAAAACCAGTTTGTCACAAAGTTTTCAGTACTCCATTATAAATCAGAGTTACTTTTCATGGTTCTGTAAAAAGCTGTGAGCACTACCACTTTAAACCATGTCTGCTCTAAACTAATGTTTTGTCACTTTTATGAGTACCAAATTCATGTGACCACTTCAAGGAGAAAAACAAGAATTCAAAAAACCAAAAAGTTCTACTTTAAATAGCAAGGAGTTTACATGTTGGCTTTCACTCAGTGCAAAAATCGCACTTGTTTAAATGGTTCACATGCATTAACTAAGTATTGTCAATGAGATGTTGCTGTAAAGGGGCAGCTGAAATTTAGTTAAAATAGACTTGATAAAGTGGTTGCATTTTTGCAGAACTACTGGGACCCTAACTGGCAAGCAAATAACATTTTATATAAAACCAGAAAGGGTAGATATTTAAAAGAAGTTTAATTTAGAAGAAGTTTTGTTTCATAAAAACAAAGCACATACCTGTTTTTCTATCTCAACACAGGATGACAGTGATGTAGAGTGGAAGTTCGCTCGTTCTAAACTTTGGTTATCGTATTTTGATGATGGAAAAACATTACCTCCACCATTCAGTCTTGTACCAAGCCCCAAATCTTTTGTCTATTTCATCATGAGGATCATTAACTTTTCTAAGTGCAGGAGGAGACGGCTACAGAAGGACATTGAAATGGGAATGGGCAACTCCAAATCCAGGGTAGGTACTGAAATCTCTTGATTGCAGTGAAGAATTGTGGCCATTCCAGCATCCTGCTTTTCTTTAAGTTTTAGGGTATAATCTGTGTTTCTGATGATAGTATGGTAAATAGTCAAGCATTTGTACTCATAGGTCTGTATTTCAGATTGCCAAAATGTACTGCGTAAAACAGAAAAGTAGCAATAAATTTTTCTTAGGACAACAAAGTCCAATGACTGGAAAAAACACGGTTAAACCAAAAATAACTGAGTACTCAAAGATGCAAATAATTCCCACAAGGAATGAGCTAAATATTGAGTAAAGATGCTTTCAGCTTCCATTAGAAAAATTTTAGTTCAGAGTGAAAAAGAAAAAAGGGCGGAGAGTTAAGAAGAGAAAACTTTTCCTTTCACTAGGACAGGAAAAGGATAGTGTGGTCAGTATGACATTCACTTCCTACTGTCAAAAGCTACGTTCTCAGCAGAAGACAACAGGAAAGAGAGGGAATTGGTAATAATAATCTTCAGCACTTCCATGATATTCTAAATTTGGGTATCTAAATGTTCTTTACAAATATTAATGCAATGCAGCGTCACAACACTCTTGTGAGTATTAGATAACAAGTCTCCTTGTTTTACTGATGGCAAATTGGGACATGGACAGGTTAAAGAGTATGCATGTGGCTTTTAAAATTTTTTTGTAAGTTAGGCTTAAGGCTCTGTGTATTACCAAGACTGAAAGCAATAGCTTTTAAATAGTTTTTATTTGTTTTACTGTAAATTATCAAAAATGTCAAGTCTAGTCATCTTTTGTGAAAGAGCTCTCTGGATCTTAGGGTTTCTGAGCTGTTGGTACTGAACCTTCAATAAAGAAAATATTTTCTTCAGTTTTCTGTAGGCAGTGAAAGTAGATACATGTTTATAAAAATGTTGATTGATATCAGTTTAGCTAGATGCATTTTTTGGTACTAACTGCTCGTCTTTTGCGTTCTAATGCTCCAAGTGCCTGAACTTCATTAGTTCTCTTCAGTCACTTTAAAGCTGTGTTTAAAAAAAAACAACCTACTATATAGATACAGGCTGACTCCAGTATGCTCCCCTACCCCACCAGAGAGGTTGGCTGTCACTGATTCAGTGACTTTTAATTGACCACACAGAAAATGAATGACAGATACAGATTAGGGGCTTGAACCTTCTTTTATGGATACACACTTTTTACTTCACCCTCACCAGCATATCTGAGAGAAGAGTTAGGTCCCTGGTTTGGTATTAACAAACCTCCTGCATTGATCACTAAACCATCTTGTCCAAGGTGGCTTTTTTCCCTTTTGTTTCTAGCACAGTGCTACAAAAATCTTAATTTAATTGGCATCTGATGGCTTTGTGATCCTCAAATAATTGAACAATAGCCATTTTTCCAAATGTATTACTATTCCTGAAAATGAGTTTTTAGAGAAAAAGACTTTGAACTAAGCAGAAATGGTTTTGAGCATGTATTTGTAGTTAAACATATGCTTAAGAGTGCAGTTCCACAACATCTCTGTTAAAGCCAGTTTAGAGAGTCTCTCCTTGCTCTGGCCATTCATCCCCGCCTCCAAGTCATAGTTCATTATTTCCTTAGCTGTGCAAACACAATTGCTTTGAAGCTGTGCTGTGAACAGGATGGCTAAAATTATCAGTGTTTAAAAAAAAAAGCAAGCCAACAAATAAGTCAAAGTAGTCTCAGTTTTTTTGGAAATAGTATTCTGATATAGTGAAAAAAATTGAGCTGAATTCTAACTATGATTTCAATAATGTATTTTAATTTTGTCTTATTTCTTCCCAGTTAAACCTTTTCACTCAGTCAAACTCCAGAGTTTTTGAGTCACACAGTTTTAACAGCATTCTCAGTCAGCCAACACGCTATCAGGTAAGCACATACATTGCTCACTGTTTTGAGTAATAGAACTGTGTGAAGGTACTAGAAAAATTACATGTTTCAAGTACATTTTGCCTTTACCAGATAAGTAAAACCTCCTGTAGAAATCAAACTCCAGGATGCTACTTGGAAAAAAGACAGTTATTGTTCAAGCTTTATTATTTGAAACATTTAAAAAAATAGCCTGTACAAAACTTAGATTTTTCTTTGATGTCCCAGTTTGGAAACTGTGAGTAGCAAATATCTGAAACTGATTCCTGAGGAACGGATATGAAAGCATTGAGCTGACCAGGTCAGCATTACTTTCCCTTCCTTTCTTCTCATGATCTGAGATGCAACATTTGACATTTCGGCAGATGGGAATGTTCCTTTCTGTTAAAAGGAGTCTGTCAGATGTTACCTTCCTGTCTTCTTTCCAGCTCAGAAATCAAAGGATAAATAGAAGTTCTTGTTCCTCTAGTGAAAATGTTGAAAGCATGTAATCTAGCTGTGCAAATTCTGTTAGACAAACTACATTAGATTAGGTATGGTAATGCAGTTCAGGAATGTTACTACATACAAGGAGTCCTGGCAGTTGCAGTATAAAAATACAGGTATCAACTTAGTGAATACTTTTACAGCTGACATTGCACTGTCATACTGTAAAATCTGAACTTTTCTTTCTTTCTTTTTAAAAGGTAAATATATCTGTCTCTTACTATTACAAATCCTTTCACATATGAACAGAATTTAGCAAGGGCAGAACTATTCTGAAGCTACTTAGAGCCTAAATTAGTGTGTTTAGATGTATTTCCCTGTTGTTCTGTTCCCCACAAAAAGTTGTGGTGCTTTGTAAATAAGAGGTAACTGGATGAGAAATGTGCTTTATTGTAATGATGAATCTCAGCATGCCACCAAAAAGCCCATATGACACAACTGCTTAATCTGGGGCTGCTCATTCTTTCACTTACAGAGATGTGAGGGAGGTAGTTAAGAAAGAAAAGTGAATAGAGTTTAATTATGTATGCTTACCTGATTATATAACTGTTTTAATCTGGCAGCAAATAATGAAAAGACTGATAAAACGTTATGTTCTGAAAGCACAAGTGGACAAAGAAAATGATGAAGTAAATGAAGGTAAGAAAGAGACCACATTTGCAATATTCAGAGACAGTTTTTGTCACATTGTATTTGGAACTGGTATTACAGCAGTGCATTGAAGCTTCAGGTAAAGAGAGGGTTTATTTCTACTTCAGACGTGCTGAACTCAGACAGTAGTGGAAGTATGCCTGTGACAACAAAGATGGGCAAGCAAGACTAAAGTAGAGCTGGGAAATACTATGGGCCCTGTTTTACAGGTGCAAAACTGGGACACATGCATGACATGCCCACAGTTACAGAGGTAGTTTGTGAGGAAGCCACTAAGTGTATTCACACTTCCAGAGTACTAGTTAGAGCTGCAGGATATCTTTCTATCTTTCATTCAACAGAACACACAATTTACCACTTCACACCATGAACTGCTTGTATTCCCTTCCTTCATGAAGTTATGTGGAATATTAATCTGTAAAGTTGAACATCACTTTAAAAATGCTGCATAAAGTTAACTGTATGGTGATAAAAATGAGAACTGTAGCCACTGTTTTAGTGGGTGACCAGAGATCTTTTGAGAAACAATGGATCCGAGCTTGGTGTCTACTGGCAGTGCGGGGCTTTGGAAACTTCCCTGTTCACAGTGAGGATGCATGCTCCAGGTGCACACCCTGACTCCACATTGCCATGAGACTAAGGTGCATGTCATCCTCCTTTCTCCAGCCTTCCAGAAATGAAACACAGGCCTGTAGGCCAAAAAAGAAACTTGAGCTCTGAGCAGGTCTCCAGATAAAGTAATAGAGGTGCGTGGAGCATGGAGCGTATTTCCTCTGCCCTGCAGCTAAAGACTATTGGGCAGTAGGCTGATATCCCTTCCAGGGCTGGCTCTGCTTTTGGAAATGTAACACCCCAGCAATGGCAGTTTTGTTCCCTATAGGCTGGAGGTTATAACCTTCATGTTTGAGCCAGTAAGAAATCTACATTACTGCCACCAGCAAAACATACCTGCTTTGCATAAGTACTTCCAGTCTGGGCTAATTTAGTTGGTTTTGGCGTACTGGAACACTTACACAAGCCACTCTGCTGGGAGCCTTGTGCTTTCCAGCCGGTGGGCACTGGTGAGCAACTTGAGATTAGAACAACTTTTACTGGCATGGAAGCAGCATCAGGTGACTGTGTGCATATATGATGTGAGTGGCCCCAAATGAGCTGCTCTGTCAGCTAAGGCAGCATAGCTTTTACTTCGCTTGGTATTCTCTGCTTATCTGTAACTCCCTGCAGTGAGAAGCAGGGAGTAGAAAATAAATTGGGACTCAAAAGGCAGCATTGTGCATTGACCATTATCCTGACTTCCTCATCCTGTGTGGCTATGCAGAACTGAGCTCATGAGTGACAGCAGAGAAGCTCCTAAAAGTGCCTCCGTCTCAGTGTAACCCTTGTGCCCCTCTCCCAAATTAACACTGCTTTCCTCCTGTTCCTGCTCTGTGATGGGGTAAATCGCCTGACTCCTGAGTGCTGAAAAGACCGTTCTCTCATGAACGGTGCTAGGGGTGTACCAGGCTTTCTAGTTCCCTGATGCCTGTTTGGTGTTGGCAGATATGTGTTCAGATGAGCAAAACAATGCAGAAGAATAATGGTTTGTGGATATCATGTTTCTTGCTTTATCAACAATTTTTGTAGAGGAAAGTCCACTTTGAGCAAATTGGCTGAGTCCTGAACCTCTGCACGAAGAGGCACTGCCTTTTGTGTTATGCCCATCTCAATGGTACTGGACATACAGATCCAGCCTTTGAAGATAAAATTTTTGAAGTCTCCTATATTCTAAATAGAAAACTGCATTCTTATGTACTGCAGCTATTTTAAACATAGCTCTAGGATTTTTTTCCTGTTTTGCACCACTAGAGTATCTAGGTATTATTTTGTAGTCTTTTTTGTACATGACAAATTATTTCTCGTGGTGGATACTGTGTAAGAATTCAAATGCCTCACATTCGCTTGAAGAATAATGTTTGAATATTTTTAAAAGCTTCTGCTCTTGAACTGAATATCCAATAATGAAAAATACGCTGTTGCTTATTACAAGCCCGGCCTTGACAACTGTTTTCATTGAAATGTGTTTCTAACATAATTTTAAGTTGGTTGACTTTTTCTCATTCAAAGGATATTGGTAAGGAAGAGGAGAGAAACTCAGAAGCTGTGAGTTTTATTGCCAGCTCTGCCACACTTTTCCTGTGTGATCTTGACACATCACTTCTGAAAAAAAATCTTTTTGCCTTTTCTAAAAGGGGTGACTAATACTTACCAGCTGTTCAGCAGTGTTGCAGTGATTAATTAATTAACCTATGTAGAGGGTTTGTGGAGTCTTTGATGTTCTGTATACACAACAAGCACAACACCTTAACTCACTAGACTATTAAAATACCTTTGGTACCATCTTGGGGTGGACAGGCAGTCACATCTCGCTGAGACTGAAGAAGAGGTAACACCTCCTGCCCCACCCTGTACCTGCTCTCATTAGCATTTTGGATGAGCAGGAAATATTCTGAAATATGCACTGATATTACTTCACAGAACGGTACTTAATGAATGTTAGATTTTGCTAACAAGTATTTCTTTCAATGATTAATACAGGTGAATTAAAGGAAATCAAACAGGATATCTCCAGTCTTCGCTATGAACTTTTGGAGGATAAATCCCAAGCAACAGAAGAGTTAGCGATTTTAATACATAAACTCAGTGAGAAACTAAATCCTAATATGCTGAGATGTGAGTGACTCAGCAAAGGAACCGAACCGTGGCTCTGACTACAGCACAACTATTTATTGGCAATAATATTTCAGTATCTTATACTTGAAAAATATGTTGTAGATTTTTAGCACTAAATAACTTTATGTACAGCTTCTCTGGAATTTAGTCTTAGGAAATTTTATTAACTCACCACAAAAAGATAGCTCTCTTAATTTTAATTGTCTAAAAGCAAGAACTATCTTTTTCTTGCATTTATGCATTAAAAGATATAATGGTATGAACTGCTAATATTTTAACAGGTTTATGGATACATATTGAGAATTCTTTGCACTAAATTTGCAAGAAAAAACAAACTGATGCAGTGTAGTACTCTGTTCATTGCAGCAACTGGGTATGAATAGGATTTTTCATAATACAGTAAATCAACTAGAGATCAGTGGAGGAGTACTTGAAATCTTTGTTCTTAGTGATGCTAGTAACGTGTATAAGCTGAGAACTCACAGTATGATTACAAGAAATTAATGAAAATCAGGTAAGTGTGAATGTAATTGTAGTAGCACTGTTCAACATATATGTATATACACGTACCCACAACTACTGTTTCTTAACTCAGCATATTTACTTTCAAGAGTAAGGACTAGGAATTTTTTTTTTAAACAACTTTGAAAGGTAATGTGAACTCAGTCCAAAACTCCTCTTTCTGTGGTAGAAATGATTTTTTAAAATTCAGACTCCGTGCAGGGCTGGTATTTTGTTACACTGTTCTAAATAATGCCTCTGATGCTTAATTGTTAAATAAAATATTCCTACTTTACTGATACACCACGTCGTCCCGATAGTTTGGCGCCTAACGCTGGATCACACAGCGATTCACCCAAACTTTGCCCTCTCGCTTTTTTACGTACGCCTCCATTTCTACCCCTGCTGCACCTCCGCGATCCCCCTCACGCCAGTCCGGCAGCGCCCGGGCCCGGGCGGAGCGGGCTCCAGCCAGGCC